GAAACAAAAACTGCTGCTTCAGCGTCGTGTTTGATTGGTTTACAGCGTGTGTGTGTCTGTGTTCACTCTGCCTGTGTGTGCGTGTCTGTCTCACACGATCTGATATCGTCGTGTTGGTGTTGTTCCCAGATCAACATAGTAAATGTTGTTCCAGGATCAACATTGCAAGTGACCAATCAGAATGTTGTGACGTCATACTTTTGGGACTTCGGGAAAAGCCGCTGTGAAACTGCGAGAAACCGCCTCTGTCCGCCGATCAACGGACCCTGACCCTTTAATAAACGCTGAGCAGATCTGATATTGTCCTTGCAACATTGGAATTTCATAAATGCACGAATGCGCCAAAGAATAACGCCACAACAATGTGATTGATCACTTGCAATGTTGAACCTGGAACAACACCAACACGAGGATATCAGATCATCCGTCTCTCTCACCGCGCTGATCTTCTTCCACTGGCGGTCGAGCTCTGCCTTCTCATTGGTCTCTTTGAAACGTCGTGTCTTCCTGCCTTCAGACATCTTGATGCCGTACTGGAAGGCAGCCCTGTAGACACACACACACACACAGAGTGAATACACACACACAGACACACACACAGGCTGCCTGTCAGTCAGAGCGGAGGGACACAGTAGCACGCACTTGGGCAGCGCCTCCTTGTTGTTCATGTAATCTGAGTACTCCTCCTGAGTGTCGAAGTCCCAGCGGCCCAGAGGACCCTTCTTATTGCCCTGGAACACACAGAAAAGCATCATGTTGCTGTGTGAGGATGAGCTGCAGGTGCATGCTGGGAGTCAGAGTTACCTGGTCCATCTTACTGTAGTCCACCTCTTCATCACTGTCCACGGCCAGGTCGTCCATCCTACACACACAGATGTAGTCACACACACCTGAAGGTTAACGCACCGTGTGTCTGTGTGTGTCTGTGCGTGCGTCTGTGTGTGTGTGTGTCTTACGTAGCAGGGTAACACTCTGCGTATGAGTTTGATCCTCCAAAAAAATCTCCCAGCTGCTCCTTACTGGAGTCTCTCCTCTGAGAGCCAGTACACACCAGCTAAGGACAAGTACTGCAGTAACACCACACACACACACACACACACACACGCAGTACTGGTGTCGGTACCCTGTATCGCTGTACCACATACATACATACATGTATCTATATTGTGTATTTTCTTGTGTGTAGTCCTACAGTTGTTCAGTATGCTGAGGCGTTACTACTCCCGCTCAGGCGGTACTACTCCCGCTCAGGCGTTACTACTCCCGCTCAGGCCGTACTACTCCCGCTCAGGCCGTACTACTCCCGCTCAGGCGGTACTACTCCCGCTCAGGCGTTACTACTCCCGCTCAGGCCGTACTACTCCCGCTCAGGCGTTACTACTCCCGCTCAGGCGTTACTACTCCCGCTCCATCCCAGCAGCTGTGACATCACCGGAACACCTGAGCCCCATACAGGTGAGCGAGAACATCACCTGTAACACAACATGAGCACAGACTTTACCTGCGCACAGGTAAACCAGCTCAGACAGAAGCTGGTGTGGTACAGTAAGCCCCACCCACTCATACAACAGTCCAATCAAAAACAAGGATATGGCTCCTGGCTCTGCCATTGGCTGCCCGCTGCTCCTGCAAACTTCTCATTGATCATCTTGATCTGGTCTCTGACTGATCCTGGACCTGCCACAGACGCAGCATCCATCAGTTATCGATCAGCTGTCATTGGTCAGAATGATCGTGTGAGTCACAGTGAGGAGCTTACCTGTGTCCACCTCCATCACCTGCAGAGACACACACACAGTTAGAACCACACGGGTAAACCAGGCACAAACAAACCCCGCCCCCCCAACATCACCTGGTGCTCGTCGCCTCGCGGTTTCTCAAAGTAGGCGTGTCTGCGGCTCTTGGTGTCGTCGTCACGGTCACGCTCCCGGTCTCTGTCCCGGTGACGCTCTTTCTCTTTGGTGGGTTTGGTGGACGGGATATAGTCCCCGATGTCCTCAAAGATACTGAAACACACACACACACACATTATAAACACACACACACACATTATAAACACACACACACACACTATAAACACACACACACACACACACACACACACACACACACACACACTCGTGATGAGGTGATGTGGGGTGAACTGACCTGAGATCAGCCTCTGGAGCTCTCTTATCATCCAGTTTACCTGAAACACAAACAGGTGAGTGCTTGACTAAGAAAAATGGTCTGTATTTATATATTTATATATATTACTCATCCCTAAGGACCCCAAAGCGCTTCACACATCCAGTCATCCACCCATTCACACACTGGTGATGGCAGCTACATTGTAGCCACCCTGGGGCGCACTGACAGAGGCGAGGCTGCCGGACACTGGCGCCACCGGGCCCTCTGGCACACCTGCAGAGCGTCAGGAGAACATCCAGCAGCTGTGCAGACTCACCTTTGTCCTTCTTCTTGATCTTCTTGTGGCGGGTTCCCTGCCTGAGGTAGGACAGGATCTGAGTCAGCTTGGAGATCACGATGTCGTTGGTGGTCAGGGTGGTCTGAGCCTGAGAGACAGAACATGAGAGAACGTGAGGGAACGATCTCAGGGCTCTGCGATATTGAAATCATTCAGCTGGAGAACTCGGATGTTTTGGCGTGGCGATGACGCGGCCTCACCTCCATGCTGGGACAGTCCGCCTTGCTGCGGATCAGCGTGGTGGGGATGTCGGTGTCGGTGAACTCGTCGTCCAGGTCGACCACGTACGCCATCCTGCCAGGCAGGAAGAGCTCGTTCCTCTCGGTCACGCCGGACCTGAACACCACGCGGTAGATGTTCCTGCCTGAGCGAACACGGAGACAGCGGGAACGCCGGGTTCAATATTCACGTTCACATGATTTCTCCACCAAAATATTCACGTTGTTCTAAAAAGATTCCGTTTGATCCGGAGACGATCCTCCTTTATTCCTGAACGCTCCAGACTCACAACAGTCACACCTCCCCTCCCTCACCTCCTCCTCCCTCACCTCCTCCTCCCTCACCACCTCCTCCCTCACCACCTCCTCCTCCCACATCCACACCTTCCTCCAGAAAACACGACTCACCCAGACGAGTCTTAAACTCCATCTTCTCCTCGGGCTCCACGTCCTTCCTGACAGACAGGGGAGGGGTCAAAGGTCACACGGAGACAGACAGATTAGAGGTCAAAGGTCATATAGAGATAGATTAGGGGTCAAAGGTCACAGATGGGTACGGGGGTCAAAGGTCACATAGACAAGTAAAAAAAGAGGGGTCAAAGGCCACACAGATGGGTGAGGGTCAAAGGTCACACAGACTGATAGGTGCGGGAGTCAAAGGTCACACAGAGACAGGCAAGGGATCAAAGGTCACAGGGACAGACAGATTAGAGGTCAAAGGTCATACAGAGATAGATTGGGGTCAAAGGTCACACAGATGGGTGAGGGGGTCAAAGGCCACACAGAAAGATGAGGGTCAAAGGTCACACAGACCGATAGGTGCGGGAGTCAAAGGTCACACAGACAGACAGGTGAGGGGTCAAAGGTCACAGAGGAGGTGAGGTTCTGATCACAGGGCTGCAGCTCTGCTCCGTGGTTCCTTACTTGGCTTCTTTCTGGACCTTCTCCATCATGTCTTCTTCTTCCTTCTCCTTGCTGGTGATCTCAGCTCTCACCTGTAACACACACACACAGGTAAACAGCTGAGCAGGTAACACACCCGCACAGGTTATCCCGACGACCGCGACCTCTGACCTTCTGCAGCAGGGCGAAGTCCAGACCTTTCACCAAGTGAGTGTGCTCCATGTCACCTCCCAAGAACTTGGACTCCTGGATCAACTGACGCCGCTTCTCTGCTGCCGACTTATCGCTGACACGCACACACACACACACACACACGCACACGCACACACAGACACGCACAC